AAAAAAAACAAAAAAATCTTTATTGTGATTGAAGATTTTAAACGATTTTACCGTCTGTCGTCGTAATCGTGCCGCAGGCGTCGCTTCCTGTACCTGGTGAACCTGGAGTTGCCGTCTGAACCGTCGCGGAAAATCGGGCGACAGAGTAAGTGGGACGTGGGGACGGTCCAGTGGAACCCGCACAGATCAGACGCCCACGTCTTCGCCGCCTCTGTGAGTGAGACCTCCAGAATAATTTATCATAAAATCATCGCAACAGAAATAATGTCGTGTAGGTAAAGAAAGTGGAGGCTTTGTGTGTTTCTGTGTGTGCGTGTTGTCCTCAGAGCAACCAGCGGGTGGATCTGTACTCGTGGAGGGACGGCTGCGGCGAAACGCACACCTCCCTGCAGGGGCACACCCGGGTCATCAGGTAACAGCAGATCAAATCAAACGCACCCATCAGCGGGTAAACGCGGTGCGGCCTCACTGATGTGTTCGTGTCCGCAGCGATCTGGACTGGTCCTGGTTTGAACCCGAGTTCCTGGTCACCAGCTCCGTGGACACCTACATCTACATCTGGGACACCAGGTCAGAGCAAAGGAAGACCTTCCAGCATCATGTTTATTATTTATTATATATATAAAATTATCTTTATCCTGATTCGTGGCCTGGACTACGAAGCTGGTTTAACAAACCCAGGATATCTCTGTTATCTGGCTTCTCTCAGCCTGACATCATCAGTTAGACTAGGAGGTCACAGGAAGTGGTGATCGTCTGAAAAACCCCGACGATGCTTCTGAGTGATTTTTGATTCTTTGACCCCACAGAGACACTCGGAAACCCACGCTGGCGCTGTCCGCGGTCGGTGAGTATTTAAAGGGCCGGACTGTTTCCTCCGTCAGTGTCCACGTGACCTCACACAGCTGACACGTTCAGTTTGAGTTTAACTGACCTCCTCACAGTGAGTCAGAGTTAGGCTGGTTTGTGTGCTATAAGGGGACGAAAGCCTGATGTCCTGATGGAGTCGGGCTTAGGATTAAACTAGAGGGCAGAGCAGAGAGCGCGGACTTTACCGATGTAAACACCAAACAAGCTTTTTGTTTGCTCATTAATTCATTCATGTATGTTTTTCTCTTTACCGTCCTCA